TGGATTTTTAGATATACTATCACGAAGTTCTACTTTAATGGATTTTCATGAAAAATACAGTAGAAATGTATTAATTACAAGTAAAACCCTGTGGTTGTTTACATTTACATGAATTACATTTAAAGTAATTTTAATCAAACATATTATCTCTAACATTAAAATAGTTCATTTTTTAATGATGGAAAACAACAGCTTCATGAAGTGACTACAATAGGTCTAATTTTAGGATGTGTTAAACATTTTTGGTGGCAAACGTGCAGGTTAAATGTGTACTAAAATTATAATTTACAGTAAGTATACTTTTAGCATAAAGTACATGTGCTATATTTTTTAAATGTGGAAAAAGTGCTACTAATGACATATTAATAATGTACTAGATTGTATTATTAAAGGACACCATTAACATGTCGTGAAGGTTAGCATCGAAAGTCTTGTTCTTGAAAGAAGGCGTCCCGAGTTTGAATCCTGGCTCAAGAACCCTTCCTAATCCCGCCTCCCTTTCTCTCTCCCACTTCGCTTTCAGTGTACTCTACACCAGTGTTTCCCAACCGGGGTGCCGTCTGTCGAGAACAGGGGTGCCGTGTAAAAAAATCATTTTTTTATACATTTTTAAATTCCTAAAATGTTCATAAAAGCAGCTATTATATAATATCCATTTCTGATGTCGCCAATAATTAGAGATGCACTGAAGTTCCGGCTGCCGAAAATTAGTTCACAGCTCAGGATTCACTTTCACGTGGTGTGATGCTCTGTGTATTACCCCGCTTTATGCGTGTGCGCTCCGCTCAGTCGCTCACGGCCCATGTGAGTGCTCCACTCATATACACTGTTCATGCTCATCGGAACAGCAAAGTCCACTCAAAAATCGAGCTGACAGGAAACATCGATGTAGTACAGTATTGTTTCTGTTTGCAATAGCCCTACTGTGCAAAACAAAAAAAATCTCTACTGTGTGTTGGACCAGTGTTTCCCAACCGGGGTGCCGTGTAAAAAATCCTTTTTTGTGACAAAATTAATTTTGTAGGGTGCCACAAGTTTGTTAAAATTTCCAAAGGGTGCCGCGACTAAAGAAAGGTTGGGAAACACTGCTCTACACTGTACTATCACAATAAAGGCAAAAATGCCAAAATAAATAAAGTTACAATACATTTGAAATGTATTACTAATAGTATTACAAATACTTCATTTATATATTATTATATATTATTCTTATATTTAAAATAATTCATAAGTCTATTTTCTATGTATGATGAGTATATTTAAACGTGTATGAAAGATGGGTTCAAGTGGTAACTAAATAAAAAAAAAATTTAATACAGAGATCGTATATTAAAAGCACAGTGTAGTTCATATTTATGGTGTCTTAAAATAGCACAGTTGAGTATGCTTAGATGTTCTTAAGATTATCTTAAGTACTAAAAATATTTTTTACCATATGAAGTACAAAATTAGTCAATTAGTCAAGGACAAACTTCAACAACTTGAGTTAGAAAATTATCTTCACTTTCCATCCTTCATTTTTAATTACGTAGTAGTCAACAGTAACTGACAATACAAAGATGACCTACAGAAGTTCATCAAGACAAACTTTGTAAAGGCCTTGTCTTAAAGCTTACAACAAATTAAAAGTATTGATTTGTGAAGGTTATTATGTTGTTTCAATACTCTTGCCATCTGAATAGAGATTTGATTAAACTGAATACTTGGCAGACTAAAAATGAAGGTGTTCAGTGTGGTTGATAATGCATTGCATGGCGGTTGCTTGGATATTCCATGTGACTGCAAGGAGTTGCTGTGAGATAGATAGATAGATAGATAGATAGACATGTTAAACACTATAAAGATATGGAAATTTTGTTTTGATAAAACGAGTCTGTGTTCGACCCCCAAAACGAATGTACTTTTTGCATTATTACCTTTTGCCATTTTTACAGCGGGTTAAACAACCATCTACATCCAGCACGTTCTCCACATTAGTGATGTCCGGTTCGCGAACGAATCGTTCGATTTAACCGGTTCTTCTTAGTGAACCCGTTGAACCAGTTCACTAAATCGGACTGAATCATTTGAAACGGTTCGCGTCTCCAGTAAGCATTAATCCACAAATTACTTAAGTTATTCACTTTTTTAACGTGGCTGACACTCCCTCTGAGTCGAAATAAACCAATATCCAGGAGTAATTCATTTACTCTAGCAGTACACTGACTGAACTGCTGTGAAGAGAGAACTGAAGATGAACACGAGCAGAGCAGCCGGATAACGAACATACAAGCCCACTGCTGGAGCGGTTCTCGAGTCAAGAACTGGTTGCATCGGTTTTCGGATCACCGGTACACTCAACCGAGAACCGTTTCTTTCGAACACGTCCGATTTGAGAACCGATGAGCTGATGATACTGCGCATGCGTGTAATTTTTCAAGAGGACGAAAAGCATGCTATCCAAGTATTTTGTTAAAAATCAGATAGTGTGATATAAATATATTTTATTTTACTTTTTTTTAAAA